TCGCGACAAATGCAGCTAACGGTTGCAAAACGCTTTCGAAAGTTTGCAGCTGCTGCTGCTGCGGTGGATTTTGGCCACAAGACTGAGTCTGAGTTGGTTTACTCGGTTACTTGGTTACTCGGTTAGCTCCACATGACACAATTTGTTAACTAGATTATTATGTAAGGCTCTCTCTCTCGGTCTCTGTCTAATCAAACGACATGCAAGCAGCCGCCTGCCAGCATATGCAAAAATAACAATTAGCCATCATTTTGATGCCAGAAAAAAAGCCACTCCACTCGACTCCACTCGAATCCAATCCAAACCAATTCGCTTCACTTGCAGACAACCAGAGATGATAATTAAATCTGTTGCGTTGATGGGTTGCCGGCTAAACTTGAGTTGACATCTTGTGTATGAATTTAAACCATTCACTTGAATGTACATACATATATTTAATGTCTAAAATACCTTCGTAACACCTTCATTAGTTTTGGGGCAATGCGGAAGCTGGAGAACCCTAATTTAAATTGTTTTTTCCACCATTAATTATGTGAAAAACAAAGCAAAAAACATCAAAGACATGACACACCTCAAATGTTATTTCGATTTCGTGCAGACAGCAATCATAAATAAATATATAGACAAGATCTTGACCAAATTGATCGCTAGGTTCTTGGCTCTTCGGGCCTCACTTTCGGTTCGATATTAAAAGGCAATTCATATATATTTTTCTTACTAGTTTCCATGCCACTTCAATTGCGATTGCAACTCCCCAACGGCGGCGGATGATTAATGGAGCCGAGTCCAAGCTCTCCGCCAAATCTGAATATATATGTATATAACTATGTGGTCTTATGTGGCCCCGCATCTGGGATGGTCTCGCTAATGGCCCACAATTGTGGCAATCGCTGTAATTAGCCAGTATTTCTGCTACAATTGTGTCACTTTTGCAATGGTCTCTGGCTATGCCACTCGCAATCCGCAACTAATTGTGTCAGGTTCACAGCCGAGCTCCACTGGAGCGGTGATTTTTCTGTATTTCCATGTAGTATCTCTCATGAGGAAACTCTGTCTCGGCCAGCTGGAAATTTATTGGTTTTTTTAAAGGTGGTTTTCCCCCAACTCGGTTGACTTTAAAAAACTGCCAAACGAGTTGTGTGCGTTTACGCATGTTCCGTTTGTGTTTGAATGAATGAAAATTTGTGGCCCGGCAAGCTCATTGAATTGGTCAAAACAAAAAAAAATGGCTTGTACATGGCACGCGCTGGCCCAGACACGCAGTCTGCCATTGACAACGAAAAAATACGAAAATGTCATCAGAGGTATAAATAATGTGGAAATTAAGTGGGGAAAACTTGCAAGTCAAGAGGGGAGTTTCTTGTAAATTTTTATATAATTTTCTATTATTACTTGAAGCAGAGTTTTGTAACTTATAGGAACTTCATCTTTAGAGGAAGTGTTGGTAATATGTTTAACTAAAATTTCCAAAATCTTTAGACATCATAAATTACTGAGAAATTAATGTACATTTAATAAGGCTTATATATATTTAATTTGGTATATAATAAGCATCCTAGAATGGACAGTTCTCGAAGAGTTCTTCTTAAAGCTTAAACCAATTTAAAGCCCCTCTTAATTTTTATTGGCCCCTGTTTGGAAAGAATTAAAATGTTCACTTGAAATCATTTTTATTGGCATCATCTCTTAACAATTTATTTTTAATTCAATGGCCGTAAACAAACATTCGGGTTAACTGAGCTTCAGTTAAAAATTAAACTGCATTCGGTAGCCCCTTTGAGACTGGCCTTTATGGCTTCATTACATCAAGGAATCCGACCACATAAATTACACATTTTGGAGAACGACGAGTACGAGTACGAGTCACACTCTGCCCGGGGGCCATTCACATGAGACTCCAACTCCAACTCCGGGCAGCCACTACATCATCGTCCAAGTGTGGCCTTGTCAATGCCGTTTCTTAGAGCCTCTGAGTTTCTGCGGGAATATACATACTCGTACATGTAATAATAATAAAAGCCGCGCATATCTGGTGCAGCCAGCTCGTATGTTATAAACAATTGCGATTGTCTTTCGGTGGCGTTGCATTTTCCGTCAACATTTTTTTCTGCAGTTGCGGCTACGATTTTTTCTCACACACGACCGATTGACTCAGAGATATAGATATATGTATATATGAAGTATATGGAGTCTGTGAGAGATCCGATCTCCACCCATCTCTCACCCCTTTGGCAATTAATGTTACGATTTCATTTTGTGGATTCTGACAGCGATTTTGAAAGTGCCATTAACACGCGACTTAAACAACTGAATTAACTTAATTAAACGATTATTTGTTTGCTTTACTTTTACTTTCGTTAGATCAATTAGCCTGACCCTGAAATGTGTTAGGTGTTGCTGCTGATCGTAAAATTCCAAAGCACTTAAATGCCTAATTATCTCCGATTTAACGGATTTCCCGACGGGGCTGCCAAAAAATATAAATATTTCAAGTTTAAATTTTAAGTTAAAGAGCCTGAGCCAGTTCAAGTTCATTTCAGGCCGACACGCTAAGCAGATCAAGATTGATGGTGTTTGGAAAACTATTAAAACTTTATAGAAAATTGCCTATTAATATAAACGTAAAGCAAAAATGGTTTAAGCCTAGTTTTAATGATTATTATTAGATTTAATGTTTAAAGCTATAGGAATGTTCCCTTTTCTAAATTAAACACTTATTCAATAAAGTTTTAATGAAGTAAGCACGATTGTTATTGGGTTTTTAAAGGTTTAATTAAGTATGAAAGGAAAAGAATATGGTTTTAAGTATTTTTTGGGAACGTAAATTTAATAATTATACCATTACTTGTACGTTTAGTTAATTAACTATTTTTACAAATTTTTTTAAGTATCTTTAGTAGCATTTATTACCTAATTTCGTATTTTTTTCTACATTTTAAATAACATTCTTAAACTCATAATTATCCGACACACCAGAAGTTGTCACTCCAGCTCCGTGGGAAGCTCTTACCCATCCACACACGTCAACACACCCGAGTAGCTTTGGTATATATCTCGAAATTAAAATGTTAGAATCATAATTCTCGAGATCGGCGGCAATCAAGACAGACATATAGCAATTTGTCGGGCGATTGGAGCACGTTTAATTACAATAGAATTTGCATTCGCGTAAAACAAAGCACATATATATATATATATATATAGTGATATAGCTCTGGCATGAATCACTGCTAAAATCGCTGGTAATTGTGAATAAATCGAAATGCATTTCGTGTAAAACGTGTTAAAGAGCATAAAATAAATGCGAAGCACATAGCCGAAGGTCGCCATCGACCAGTGTGGAGAGCAAACCCATTCAAACTGTAATAGTAAAACGAATGTAGTAAAAAAACTATAGTACACACCGCACCGATTCAGATACGGATTCAAATTTAGATTTTCCCACAGTGTGCCAAACGAACGCGTTTGGGCGTTAACAACTGCCAACTGTTGGTCTGACATTCTAGCCAACTCTTGCTTTTATTGGCCAACGGCGCCGTCGTCGTCATGACATTAAGTTGCCAACAGCGAGTATAAATGCGATCGACTTCTATATTTCATATCCTGTAGATACTTTTAGCGGGGGTTCCGCAAAAATAACACAAATTAAAACAGAAAACAAAACGTGCAACGCCTATTCGCAGCGGCAGCCTTTTTTGGTTCGGCTTCTGACTTTTCAAACAAATTGCAGTGGCACTTGGCCTTTGCAATCGCAACCTAGAGGTCGACCAATCTACAAAAATATATATATATACATATATATATAGAATTTTATACCAGAAGTGTTTGCTAACGTGTTCTAGATATATCTATATATTAATTATCACTGATAGCAAGACTCTAGTTTACTTAAATAAAGCTTTTCCATAATTTTAACAAAGTAGAGGCAGTGAAAAGGTAATTATTCTATATAAAAATTAACACATTTTCATGCTGCACCTTAAAAAATATACAAAAGAATACATTTTAAGGCTTTATCTCTTCCTTTAGATCAGTAAATTGTTCCAGAAGCTTCAACGCCTCTTTAATGTAAATAAATAACTTTGTTCTCACGCTTACAGAGGTTTTATTAAAGACAGCCATCTACTAAATCCATATGTAAATTAATATACAATTAAGTTGGAGCGGGATAAACTAATAAAAACAACTAAGTGGCTCAATTAAAAACACACTTTAATTATCTTTTTTTATGGTTCTTAGTGGTTAAATCAATCATGAAAAGCGAAAGCAGAACTGAAATGAAAATCAAAGTCCGGCTACAAAAAAACAATCTAAAAACGTAAGGTATTGACCTCAAGAAGGTAAAGTTATTAATCAATTAAAAAAGTATTAATTCATAAATTAATTTAGAGTTAAACTAGCAAATTAATAACGAATATAGTAAAGGCAACTATAATTAAAAATAAATAACAATATCTATCGGGAAAGAATTGTATACCATAAGTTTTTGAAAAATATATAAGAAAATAATGAACTCCTTTAAAAATTTATTAAATTTGTCAGACTTTAAAGAAACCCCTTCCAAAACCCAACCTTCATACAAAAGCCCGAAAGCAGACTTAATTTTAAACTCAAATATCATTATACTCTCCAAAAGCTTTGAATACTTTTAAGAGTGTATTTCCAGATATGAAAATAAAGCAAACTAAAGTCATATTTGGCGCCAAAGATTTAGTGGACCACCATTGGGTCCTTGAATACCATAATCATATAACATTTATTCAAGAAATTTGGCCACATATCATTCTTGTTTTTGTTTTGTTTTCAATAAATATTCTTTGTAATATGTAAGTTTTGTCTTAATATCTAACAACATTGTGTTGGTTATTATTATTATTATTTAATGTATTTCGAATACAACAAGAATCATAGATATTATTTTTATAACTAATATGGGAAATACTTTGGTGTATGTGTTAGTGTGTGTGTGTGTGTGTGTGTGTGTGTGTGTGAAAGAGAGACATATTTTTTATAAATACATTGTAATTATAATCTCTAATTAAAATCTGCTTGGATGTGTATCTAACTAAAATTAGAACTTTGGACAATACTTGGCATTTTGAACAGGATATTTTTTTTGTGACTTATTTTTCTGTATACTTTTTTTATTTTACTTTTGGCTGTATTTTTGGTAGATTTTTATTTATATTCTGTGAATGCTGGGTTCTCTTCAGTAGGGATTGTTGCTGCCGGCATTGCGTTTGCGTCCCATGTTGCAGATTTTGAAATGGCAAGGTGACATGTCTAAGGAAATTTTTAAGAAATTAAGAAGATTAATAAAGAGTTTTATGGGTTTTTATACTTGGGGGTTTCATGCAACACTTACATTGTTTACGAACTAATTTTTGTTTGGGAAAGGATCAAAAATAATTACACATGAAAATAAAACAAAAAGGAAAATATAAAATTAGTTATTCATGCCACACAGCTTATGTTTTAATGCTAATTTTAAAAGAGATAAAGGAGCTTGATTTTGATTAGATTATATATATTACTTACATTGCACATTCTTCTTGGTGTTATGCTCCTTGAGCGAGTGACCTCCTGGCATCATCACCTTCTTGCTGGGCACATTGGTCAGCTCATTGACCACATTGTAGCGCAGCTCATCTCCAGCTCCATTATCGCTGAGCTTGTGCAGCCTGGCCAGCAAACGGGAATTGGTGTCCACACCTCGCTCCTCGCTCTCCTGGGAGACCCCAAAGTCATCGTAGTCGGCGGTAAGTAGGAGGTCCCTCAACGATGGCCACTTCCGGCCAAAGGAGGGCAATCGCTGCTGCTGCTGCTGTTGCCTCTGTAAGAGTGGAGAGTCCCGGGTCACAGGTTAAATAAGGATTTCCTTGGCGGTATTTCAGTCTAGTTCTTACCAATTGTTCACCATAATAGTTGTTGATGTTATTGCCGCTGCTACTGTCCTCATTACCAACTCCCAGCAACTCACTGAACAACAACTGCGTGTTCCGAGATGGCCGGGGCAGGGCATATCCTGGCCCAATCGCCAATGACAGGAGGACAATGGCAATGGCCCAGTGGACAGCCGAGGAGCAGCCACAAGTGCCAGGCGACGATGATCGGGAAACAGGCATTGTACTGCTATAGAAAACACATAAAGGTCAATTTAAAATTTATTAAAAATAAGACTTAGTGCTTATAAATAAAGTATTTTCACACAGTATATGGGTTTCTTAAAAATGAAGAATGTAAACCTATAGAAAACTAAACAAATTAACTAAAAATCAAAAAGATTCTACCCTTGTATGAGTTGTCTTCCTTAATCTTGAATACAACTTAAACTCTTCTCGTCTAGCCGCATATTTTATAGTAAATTTTTAAAAGCTTGGAATTATTTTATTAAGCCTAATTATATAAAATTTATACACACATCTTTTTTTATACCCTATAAATTTAATTACCGAAAAAATTGGGAAACATGTGTAACTTTAAAGTGTGAACAGCAATTAAGCAGGGGGAAGCACACGTTTCAGACAACCCACCCTTACTTCGACATTTCCCAACTCCTGGCAACCCCTTACTTTTGCTTACGCAAAAGGGTTTCCTATTACAAACAACACAACAAGTTAACAACAAAAAACACACACAAAAAAAAGACCAAGAAGGCTGAGAAGGCTAAGCGTAGAAATATGCGTAAATGTTTCAAGAGGGGATCTCGAGGGGTTTCGGGTACTTCAAATAAGTCACGTTGCAGTTGGCAAAACAAGTTCTTGTCCAGCGGTATCTGGGCCATGGGCTCTCCGCCATGTTCCAGTTAAAAGTTTTGGCTTTCCTAATACTTCTTCGTGTTCTAAAAACAGACCAGTGGATTCTTTGAAGCCATCTCACGGATTCAGGTCACATTGCAATATCATCATTTGATATGCTGCGGGGACAGGCGTAATTGACATTTATGAAATATTAATGCCTAATTAAGCTGAAGAGCCTCTGACGCCAGGAGTGACCGGAATGCTAAAGGTGAGCGGCGAGCTAATTATCAAATAAGGAGTGGGTTTTTTTAGCTTTTGACTTTTAAAAATTGCAAGTCATTTGGGGTAGTTAGAGAATGATGAATGAAAGGGTTAAGGCTCATTTGCAGAGAATGAAAAGAAAAGGATTTTAAGATAAAATTAAGTAAGGGTAAAGGGTAACTATTTTAGAGGTTCCAGAAAATCATGGAGATTAATGAAGTTAGCTCCTTAGAACAGAGATATATTTATTTATAAGGAATAAGGTGTTCTTAAACATTGTGCTGCCTTGCTCAATATTATGTTTATCATTTATTATTTTACCCTTAAGAAATCATAAGAATTTATGAATGTTTGAAGTTATAAAATAATCTTATCTACCTTTTTAATAACATTAATAAACTGCCTATTTTGCTTTGTTTCTTCTGTGTTCTCTCTTCTTTTTTCTACAATTTAATGGCGCCACGCAGCTGGCAACATTTTATTTCAATTTATTGCAGCTTATTATCTCAGAAATAAACCCAAAAGAAACCCAATTTGTTGTTGCCGACTGATTTTCTTCTATTTTTCAAATATATTTTTTATATATTTCCCTGCTGATTGCCGTGCATCATCTCGTGGAGGATCAAGTGCAGGCGATAAACTTTGCCGAGGGATCTGCGACTTACACGCTCCTCATTTTGTTTTCAATGATTGATGTGTGCGGTGTGGTGGCATGCCGTAATCGCACCAAACGCATTTTAATAGCCCCAAAAAATTTATTTGCGATTCGAGGCTACGAGCTGATAATGCATTTGCTAATTTGCGATCCCCCGGGAATCATCTCTATTTTGGTTTCGGAGTCAAGGCCTTGCGCGTACAGGTTTCATTGAACTCGATTTTTGGGGTCTTGAGGTTACGTTTTTATTCCATAAATAACTAGTACTGTATAGGATTTCCCGGGGAGGAACCAGACCCAAGCGAACACCTGTCGAATTTTTATTTGACAGTTTCCCCATGACACGTCCGTTTTTATTAGAAAAATTAGAGTCTGATAAGCGATAAGGAGATGTTAGGGGGTTTACGGGTATCATTATAGGCCTGAATAAATAGCTAATTACCAAACCGAAATCTCTACAATAAAAAACTGCCTAGAACTAGTTTGATTAGGCTACGAGGAGATTTCACTTTAAGGTGACTTTCTAAATTTTCTAGAAACTTTCTCCCTATGAACGCGACCACAATTAAATCTTATACAGAACATTTTTGGGAAGGTATAAAAGTTAGGAACCCTGGGCCCTACAATCATATAATTTTTATCAGAAACGTTTTTCGAAAAGTTACTAATGATAAATAATCGAAACTAATAACAGTTTTATTTTGAAAAACCCCAGCTTATGCCATAAGCTAAAGAAATCAAGGAATTTAATACGTGCTAATGACAATCCTAGTATTCTAGAACCTTTAAAATGTCATCTTAAAATAATATTATTTCATGCGCACATGTAATCGCCTAATCTATGCTCCCAAAAATTCCAAAATAAATTAAACTAGGCCTGGGGGTCTGACCCAAAATCATCTCGTATCATCTAGGAATACTAAGAATTTATTATAATAATAAAATTGGTTTCTTTTCATTGTGCTTTTATGTGCTTCATGCCATATAAAGTGCGTCATCGGGGCACGTCATAAAATATCGGACCACAACCAACATGAAAAGAGAGTGAGCTACGAGGAGCGCTTTCTTATCACAAACAATAAGTTCAAATCTACTCTGACACGCCCTCTTTTCTTTGCTTCACTGTAAACAAAAGTTATCTCCTTCCGAATCTAAGTTGGAATCCCCCTTCCTATTCTATTAAATAAAACTACGCAATACTTTCCGATTCACTACGATTCACGAGACTTCTTCTTCGACATTTATTGAAAGTTCGTCCGGTGGCCCTGATAAGACGGCTACATTAATTTCTTCTATGTGGAACATAAAACCTCTCATTGCAATAAATTAAAGCAAAAATCGAGCAATGAAATGACAATTCAGAAAAAAGTCTGCTGATAATTCGGTGCGACAAATTAAAATGTAAAAATATATAATCATTATCTTGGCGCCACTTAGGCGACCCATAAATCGAATTCAATGATTCGATTTTAAATAAGTTAATGTTTAATGATTACTGATAATGGGCTAATTAGTTTGGGCTTTATTAATAGAATTATATGTCAAGATTTGTATTTAATTAGTTAATCCGTTTAAGATTAAAAACTCTAATAATGAATTATTTCAAACGAGTATCAATAATATAGTACATTTTTAAAAAGTAATCCCGAATTTAATTGAATTTCAAGAAATACAATAAACTATTTAAAGTGCTTTCTAAACAATTATTTTGTACCATAAATAATTTTATATATAATTTATTAACTAGTATAATTATTATCACAAATTAAAGCTTACATTTTTTCCAAAGAATCGCGCTCCAATTATTTGAAAACTTCTTTTGAAATTCTAGAGAATACAAGTTCTTGGCACTTAATCTCTTTGTGATTAAGTTAATTCCGGTTAACACTTTCCAACACTGTAACTGTACTTTTTACTGTTTATGTTAACTGTACTTTTTTACAGTTCCTCTTTTAAAATGTTTTTTAAATAATTTTCACTTGGCTATATGTTTTTTTGTCGTCTCTCCGCCAGGTGAATCTTAACCGTTAGGTGTTACAATGCAGAATAAACGCAAATCCGTTGGCAGCATTTGTTTATATAGGCGCTCGAAGACCCGACGTCGCCACACACAAAAAAAGGGTATAATTCAACAGGTACAAATAAACAACCGACAAACTGCGACTGCGACGACGACGCTTCGTAGGTGACAGAAGTCAAAGTGTTACTGGCGTGGGCGATGGGGCCAGGGAATGAGGCGTTTTCCGCCCACTTTTGGGGTCAGGTTCTCGGTGGGATTGGGTGTATTTCGTTCGGGTGCTCAAGCACTTGAAATGTGTGTGTATTTCTTTTTGTAATTTAAATTTATTTCTGTTCGCGGGCTGCTAATTTCAGAACAATCAAGTGGACACGCTCACAAGTTCTCGGCTTTCAACAGCGAACTAAACTCTCGGGATCGGTTTGGATCGGATCGATCCCGTCTACTATATCAATCGAGCCGAGCGGGATCTCAATGGAACTGAATCAAGTCGGTCGTCTTCGGACCGCTCGATCTTCGTGCGTTTTGTCGTGCCACGCTTTTGACAAATCGTCCGATAAAGCCAAGATTTATGATCGGTGCCATATATAGTTAGTAGGTACATATATACACCCTACGGCACTTGTTTTGGGTCATATGGGTTCTCTCGCTTCCCTAATTATTATTCTATTTAATGAATTGGCATCTAGCCTGATCTCTGATCCCAATTTATACTACAATCTAGGCTTTTACACAATCGATAGGTTGGTTCACTGCACTTAGCCAAGGAGCTTTAGTCAAGGCTTTCTACAATCTATGATAATAATAGTCTGAGATTTTTCTACCCACATGATCAATGATCCCCACATCACTTTAGTTTGCTGTGTAGGTCATTAAACTCGCAATGATTTAGCTATAACAAAATAAAGTTTAAAAGTTAATTGGGTCAATGTCGACTGGCAATTTTTCATTTTTCATACACCAGCGGATGTTGAAATACCCGGCGGATATTGCAATCTCATGTATAAAAAAAATTAACAATCACATGATACTATTACTTACTATTACTTACAAACTTTGGGTACCTGTAAATAGAACCCATTTGTTGGGAAACATGTCACAAATCTAAATAAACTTTTGTAGAGTAAACAGAAAGGGGTAAAAATAAATTCGCAGTTTTCGTATAAAAATAGCATGGAAATTTACACTTGTCTATTTCAGAGATAACCCAACCTGATCTTATCTTTTATGCTCACTTAATCATCCTCATATCGTGGCAGATCTGGGGTTTATGAAGAGAAAAAAAAAACTAGAAGGTACTCTAACTTGGAATACCCTTGCACTTTTCAATTGGATCGATAATTATCCATATACAAAATGGACAATTTTTTCGACCAAAATTAAAGTTTAAATAATTCATAACTTAGTCAAAAAATCATTATTTTCAATTCGGAAAACGGTTCTGAGCTAGTTTTTAACTGAGTTTCCTAAACTGAGATTAAAGCTTCTGACTAAAATTATTATACCTCTCAAAGGTATACAAAAGTGACGCAATAGCTGGCCCGTATTAAGTCACACAGAAACACGAATTAATTGGAGGTATCATGGCATACAGATCTTAGAATTTTTCGGTTTTATAAAGATTATATATAAACACAATTATGTATTATACAGAATCTCCCCGAAATTATTTCCTAATTTAAATGCGTCTTTTTTTTTGACAAAGTCCCCGCAGACAGTAATTAATTTCGTCTAGGAATTATTCCTGATTATTCCGGCACGCCCCGACCTTTTGTCTGAACCGGGAATATTGGTAGGTAGTTCCTCAGCTTATCTCCTCGCCCACGCTTCAGCCGCTGACTTGTGATTAAATTAAATATGTTACATCACCCCGAATTATCGGCGGGGGAGTCGAGTCTCATCGCGGCTCATCATTTGTCCGTCTGAGATTGATAAGAGCTTTCGCGTATCGCTAATAAAGAACCGTATAGCAATTATATCAGTGCTAATTGACACTTATTAGAAGGCTACCAAGTCGCTGAATTGACACTCCATGCCGGAACAGAGCCCAAGCACGTGCCGGACAATTATCAGCCATCACGCGACTGCATGACTTTCATTAGGTTATTTTAGTTAATTTATTGGGTATTGAGTCAGCCGTTTTTTCTCACAACATTCATAACAATGCACATTCGGGATTTTGAATTAGCGCCACCACAAGTGCACCTTAGAGTTTTACAACACTGTGTAGAAAGTAGAGATAGTAACTTATGTCCTATGCCCACTTTATTTTATTAAGTTCTTTTAAAACAAGAGTGAGAAGAAAACACCTATATACAAATTTTATGAAATTTAATGATAATTCAATAACATTTATTATGGGACGTTTTAGAAGTTTAATTATAATTTTCAAATATTCAAATAAGAACTCGATTTGCCTCCGCCAACAGTGTGTACAATGCATTTGGCTCCAAAATATGGGTAAACTGGCGCTGCTACCTCCTGGTCACACTGTATAAGCGCCCGTTGATCTGTGGGGGGGCGACGAAAAATAAAAATAATAGGAACCATGTCGACGCTGCAACTGGAATTTTCACAGGCCATGGCCGATTTTAAGAAAATGTTCCCGGACATCGACAGAGAAGTGATTGAGGCCATCCTGCGCGCCAACTTGGGAGCCGTGGACCAGACAATTGACGCCCTGCTAGCCATGTCAATTGACAATCAGGTGAGCCCTTGTGTATACTAATATGCGCTTTACTAACAGCTAACCCAACGCTAATGAATGCCACTAACCAAATTGCACGCCGCAGAACGAGAAACTGCGCAATGAACTGGATGCTAATGTCTCGCCCCAGCAGAGCCTCATCAACCTGAACGACTCGGACAAAGACCTGCGTCGCACGGGCCAGCTGGTGGATACCACTGACGGCGGCGGCGCGGAGACAGGAGGAACTACTGCTGCTGCTGCTGTGGGTGCAGTGGCCCCGAGCCTGCTGACCACCACAGCCGGCGCCTCGCCAAATCACCACAATACGGGTGCCTCGCCCAAACAGCGCCCGCTGGGATCAGCCAGCAAGGTAAACAGCCAGAATAATACGCCCACAAAGCAGCGCACAAATCGCCGCTGGAATCCGCCGATACTGGGCCCATTGCCAGCTGGCTTTCTGCGCATCACCCCGGCTCCCGGGCAGCAGGATTTCGAGTTGCCGGACGAACAGTTCGCCTTGATGCTGCAGAATGAGGAGTTTATGAACCAGCTGCGCTGGAATCAGGACTTTATGAACGCCCTGGAGAAGGAGCAAAGCGGCAAGGCCAAGGGCGAGGACGATGCCAACTTCCAGGAGCGGCTCAAGAACATGGGCAAGATGTCGCGCAAGAAGTTCCTGCAAATGGCAAGGGTCTTTACCTGGCAGCGCAACAAAAAGGTGACTACGGCCAAGCAGATTGACTCCTTGCCGCTCCGTGAAGAGCCCAGCGACGACGAGGATCATCATCATCACCACCAGCAGCAACAGCAGCAGCAGCAGCAGGCAAGCCAGCAGCAGCAGTCCAGCAGCCAACAGCAGGGCCAACTACAGCTACGCAAGTGAAACTACGGATGCGGGTCCGGCGCTGCTTTGTTATCTTATCTCAACGGCCATAACGTGACGATCACGTGCGCTAGTAATCTCTGCTAAGACGAACCCAAGTAATCTCTCCACGCAAAGAACGAAATCTCCCAACCCAATCTCAAAGCGAAATGATTGTATTACCGTATAGTTTTAACCTTAAGTGCAATTTCTAAACCTCCCGTGCAATATTCCCAACCCTTGTATTTTTTAATTACGTTTTTTTGTATACGTTTAATTGTTTCTTTGTTCACCTTTCGTTGTTGCCAAATTAGCGTAGATTAAGTTTTATCCATAACAAACACAAAAGTTCGACTGATTATAGAAAGCATCACACACTCGTTTTATCGGAATCTGTATCGAAAAATGGGGAATTCACCCCCTCAAGTAGAAGAGCACTTAGCTTACCCCAAACCTAGTCATAAAGCGAAACTAAAGCCCTTTATTGTACAGTAATCCCCATCGCGACTTCTTAAACTTCTTAAAATCAAGCTGGCAACATCTACTATATACATGCATTATAATGATTATTATTATTATTGTATACCCGCGAATCTCAGAACCTTTACGCATATACCATATCAGCTGCAGTTTTACTCTTGAATCCACTAAACTCCGAATCGAACCTACGGCAGATCTTACCAGTGAATGAATATGCGTGCTATAAACTAGCAAAATATTATTATATTATAATTATAAAAGGCGGCTATATTTGATTGTAATTGTATGTAAAAATATTTGAATAACAAAAATTATATAAACTATTCCAAGTATCAAATACAGATATTTCAAAACTCAAAAAGAATCTGTTTTTAAATTGGAAAAAAGTTGGAAACGTTTTGATATATATTTATATTTAAAATCGAAGCCTTTCAAATTGTTTTTTAATCCCCCAAAGAATGTATACTCAGCTTACATGAATTTATTTAATTTTTATTTTGTTTTTGCATTTCCTTTTTAATTTTTTATAAACATAATACATTTATTAATAATTAAAAGATGTTCGAACTGGATTGACCCACTTTACTGCAGCTTCACGATAAGCCCCCTAAAAAGAATACTGTGATATTCGTATCCTTTCCCGGAGATCCTGAGGAAGCAGAAAGTAGGCTAAACGAGTTCGAAAAAATGGTTTTTCAATTACATTTTTCACACGCTCATATTATTACATTATTATGTTATTGTAACGGTTGTTTGTTTTGTTTTATTATTTTCAAAAATGATTTGTATTCTTTATCATATATTTTTAATATATACGCTTGGGCTTAGGTTTTAATCTTTATTTAGTTTTAATGTTGGTTGTTGGCTGTGTTTAGACTTTGATTTAAGGGCATATTGGTTACTACTCGTACGCGAAGTTTATATGCAATGTTTATTTATGAAATATTTTTGTTTTCTTGTAAATTTACTTCGATTTTTATTCTTTTTTGGGATTGACGCGACAGTTTTTTGTTTCTTAAGTATAAATATACTAGAATTTGTGGCTGTCTGTTGTTGATTTTAACCTCGGAAGCGGAAGTTGCAATTGCATTCCTACTCTCTTTCTCCCACTTCCGTCTCTCTAATTTCCGTTTCCGCCTTTTGCATTTTTTTTCGCTCTCTCTGAGAGCACGCCGGAGTGCAAGTGTTAATGGGTATGTGTGTGTGTGGGATGTGGCATGTATGTGTGTGAGTGTGCTGTCAATTGATCGTGTGTGTTATTTTAAACAATTACTTGTAAATTTGTTTTAAACTAATTACTAAATGGGCTCATCATTACTTCTGGTTTGTTTGCAACATTTTGACATCATTTGCATACAATATTTTTATAAAATATGTTCCTCATTCATGATTTCCTTTCTCGATTCTCGATTTTATTTTAGCTTTCTTGTGGAATTTCCTCGTGTTTCATTTCTTTCTTTGTTAGGCAATACAATTTAGGTTTTTAGCTTAATTTGATTTTCATTTGTTGTGTGTTTTGCGGTCTATTTAAAGATATATTTGTTGGGTTTTCGTGTTCAGTATTATAGTAAGTTTTGTATAGGGTGTGTGTAAAGAGAGTGTATATAATCGAAAAGAAGAATCAATAAATACGAATGTTTTTAGTTGACGAATGTTGTTTCACTTGATGCATCATAATTTAAAAAACGGCTCAAAAACGAACGACAAATATATTTAAATATGTATAGTATATATCATAATAATTCCCCATATATATGTATGTAGGCATTAATGGTTAATCATCAGAGAAAAATAGTACAATCATAATAGTAATAATAATAAGTAGTAAATGGTAATAATTACAAAAAACTTGTTGAAACAGTTAAAGAACATTGTCAGCTTTTAGTTTTAGTAGTAGTTTTTAGCTTTTTCTTGTTTGTATATGTAAGTAGATTGGGTTATTCGGTTCAAAAACGTATCGAAACGAAACGAGAAACGGAAACAAAAAATAATTAAAAATCTCTTTTGCTTTAAACTTTACTCTTAAATTTCTCCCCTTCTAAAATCTGCTCCGTTTCGGTTATCGGTTTTATGTTTTCTGTTTTCTGATTTTAGTTTTCTTTTGTTTTGTTTTGTTTTGGAAGTCTTATAGCAGAACACATAGGGACTTTTTCGGTTTCTTCTGTTTCTTTTCTGGCGACTTCTTGTTGATCTGCCTGACCAGGTCATAGAAAATATCGTTTACATTCACTTTGGCTTTGGCTGACGTCTCCATGAAGGCGCAGTTGAATTGGGTGGCTAGGCTCTTGCCCAGCTCCTTACCGACGACGCGCTCCTCCTCCAGATCGCACTTGTTGCCCACCAGCACCATCGGCACATCATCCGTATCCTTGACGCGCAGTATCTGCTCCCGCAAGTCCTGCAGATCATTGAAGGTCGATTGCGCCGTTATGGAGTAGACCAGGACGAAGCCCTGTCCGTTCTTCATGTAGAGATCCCGCATGGCCGTAAACTGCTCCGTGCCCGCCGTATCCAGAATCTCCAGCATGCATTGCTGACCATCCACTTCCACCTGCTTCCGGTAACTGTCCTCGATGGTAGGATCGTACTTCTCCACGAAGATGCATTGGACAAACTGGACTGTTAGCGCCGATTTGCCAACGCCACCGCTGCCCAGCACCACGATTTTGTACTCACGCATGGTTTCTCTTCTATCTTTTAATGGTCAATAGCCCAAAATGCAGGTAGGTTTTTCAGGTGGGTTTCTCTCCTCACAAAGTCACAAGTCTCCGCGAGTTGTTTTTGTTGTTGCTGTTTTTTCCGTTGTGTTGTTTTGTGTTGTGCAGAATTTGTTTCTCCTTATCTCCTCTCTCCACTCTCTCCAAAAAATCACTAGTTTAGGCGTTGTTCGGCGATTGCTTTTCGGTTGCAGTTTCGTGTGGTTCTTTTAGAACGTTTTTCTCCTTGTTCTTTTCCCTTTTTTGTTATTTAATTTTATATATATTTAAAGTAAGTTTGTTGCTCTTGTTGTTGCTGTTGATAACCTTTGTGCCGTGTACGGGGGTGTGTGTGCTCGTGTTGATGTGGAGTGTGTGTGAGTGTCGGTGTCGGTGTTTGTGCCTCTCCCTCGCTCGTCCTCTCTCGCTCGCTCTTTCCGCCGAGGTGCGTGTGTTCGTTCAATTGTTGCTTTCAGCCCAGCGGCGATAAAAGAAGTCTCCTGTTCCCTGTTCCGCTCCGGTCACTGTTACCGAGGGCGCACTGTTGGATAGATAAGCGAAAAGAAAACACTTTTTAGTTGGAAAATTCTTTGAGATCATCGGGTTTTTGATTGGTGTGCGTTTTTTTTTTGTATGCTGAGAACTGACTCTGCACTCCCTCTTTTCTTCGCTTCTTCGTAAACTCGCCCTCTCTGTCGCTCTCGTTCGCTCTCTATCTTATGATTCATTTACAGGGTTACCAGGCGGCGCACTTGAAACGCATTTAGACTTGCAATGCTCATAATGCAATGCTCTCGAATCACTGTTGTTCTTTTATTAATTAAAAACCACTCCTAGACACGAATTGACGGTTTGTGTGTATTCAACAAAGGGGCAGAGCAGCGGCAAGGAAACAAATTCACGCCATGCACCCGCATGTCAGCAGGGCAACTCTATGCGGAGTGTGGAGCGGAGTTTTACCTTTGTTTCGCACTCGCTGCGGCTGCCTGATTAGCGGTTGTGCCGTTACGCGCTGCTTTTCGTGGCCCTTCACCTGTCGGCACTCGCGAATTGTTGCACTTTTGATTGATAACGCCGTAAATGCGGAGCAAATAGACAACTTTTTTCGCCCACAACTACCGAGTGTGACCGCGTTTTGACTGTGGAAAAATGTACTAAACAAAACATCCAAGTATCGATAGTCATCGATTGTTGCACAGTGTGACCATATTCGCATTTTGAATTGTATTTGTTGTTAAATTTGAAATACTTTTAAATTAATTAAATTAATTGATTCCTCTTTTCAATTTTATAAGAAAAATAATTAATTAATTAAATTTGAAACAATTTTCCGTTGTCAATTCCACAGCTCCAGCGTGTTCTTGATTTAATCAATGCGTACATATAAACTATATTTAGTAAAACAACAAAAGTGAGAGTATCTAACTAAAATTTCGTACAAAATTCAGCTTGTGGGCGGATCTCAGCGTATCTTGGTGACCATTCCGGCGGCAATGGTGACGCCCGCCACCCGCAGCATCACTCGTCCCAGCTCCTTAAAGTCGGCGTATCGCTCGATGCAGATTGGCCGACTTGTCTCCAGCTCCACGAGGGCACAGGAGTTGTTCCCCAGGCAGCGTGGCTTCTTCTTCACCACCTCGCCGGTGCTCTTGTGGATCGAGGCCGTCAGCTTGCACACCACGGCGGGTTCAATCAGGGATTGATGGTGAAGGAGCACAGGAAAGCCCATAGTAATGGGCACCTTCACGTTGAACACAATGATGCGAGCCTGGAAGCGTGTGGTCACCGGAATAGGGGTCTGGGGATCGCAGATGATGCAGCCAACGGTCACGTTGTTGATGTCCAACGCAGGCAGAGTCACCGAGACCTGATCGCCGGCAAAGACACTCGTCTGGGGGAACTCGTCCATAGTCATTGACTTGACCTGTGCCTGCTCCCGGCTGGCACCTACCAGAACCTTGTCGTTGAGGCACAGCACTCCCGTCTCCACTCGTCCAGAAATGCAGAAGCCAGATCCGGTGCCCTTGTAAATGTCCGAAACGGACATGCGCATAGGCTTGTCAATGGCACGTTCGGGGATCTTGAAGTTCTCGATGACATCCAACAGATGGGGTCCACTGTACCAGCTGGTCAAGGCGGATTCCTGCGCCTGCTTTGTAAGATTTTCGGCAGTCAGCCCCGAGCAGGGTGTGAAGGTCACATCGGACTCCTTGAAGCCCGCCTGCTTAAGGAAAGCCTTGAGCTTGGTCACAATCTCGTTGAAACGCTCCTGAGACCAGCCGACGGTGTCCAGTTTGTTGATAACCACGCCCAGTTGGTTCACTCCCAGCGAACGCACCAGGATGGCATGCTCCCGCGTCTGTCCGCCGAGTTCAAAGCCAGATTCAAACTCTCCCCGGGTGGCATCCACCACGAGGAGCGCAACATCTGCTTGCGTGGCGCCGGAAATCATGTTCGGTATGAAGTCCTTGTGGCCCGGAGCGTCCAACAGGGTGACAATCTTGGTCTTGGTCTCGATGCGGGACTGGCCCACGTCCATGGTGATGCCGCGGGCCCGCTCCTCACCCGTCTCATCTAGCACCCAGGCGTACATGAAGCTCTGTTTGCCCAGCTTCTTCGACTCCTGCTCATGTTTGTGCATTACACGCTGCGACACGTTCCCGGTGTCGTATAGTAGGTGGCCCATTAGGGTGCTCTTCCCGGCGTCGACGTGGCCGATGACAATCATGTGGATGTGGCTCTTTTGGTCGGCGCGCTCCTTCTCATACAGTTGTCTGGCGTTGCGCAGTGCCTGTTCCTTGGAGACCTTGAACAGAGAAGCGGAGCTCCGGGAGAGATCGCAGTCGCTGTTGATGTCAACGGGTGTGTTGCGGCCAGAGACTACAGGCGAGGAGGGAACCTTGGGCGAAGCTATCTCGAAACCTCGGCGCGGCTCCTTCAGACTAATCTTCGGCGGTGGCGTTGGTGCCGTCTTTGAGGTCTTGGCGATCAGCGGAGCGACGGCGGCAGCGGCAGCCTTGGCCCGACTTGTGGTGGGCTTCTTTTGGGTCTCCTCGTTTAGGATCTCGTCCAGGATCTTCTGCATGTTATAGTCAAACTTCATGGAGGTCTCTACAATACGGCGCTCGGACACGGCGTCGCCGACCACGCTGCGCACCTCGTCCACGCAGGAACTTAACTTGGCCTGCTCGATATCGTCCAGTTGCGGCATCTGGAAGCTCTCGGAATCACGTCGGGCTTTCTCGAAGGCGGTGTCCTCGTCCTCGTCGTCGTCGTCTTCCTCCTGAATATCCTTGTTCTTGCTGATGAAGGCCGAGATGCTCTGCTGGCCACGGGCACGATCGTAGAGCCACTGCTGCGCATCCGTGGGCGAGATGCAGTGCTCGTCCTCCACCGAGTGGCCATAGATATCGTCATACCCATCGTACTCGTCGTTGTAGTCCATCGTGCGCACTATTCGGTGGCGCGACATCTTTATGGGACTGTTTATTTCACAATTTACGGAAAATTATAAGTTCAACGAGAGAAAGAAGAAAATAATAGTGCGTGCTGGTGTGACCGTCGGGTGTGCCCGCCGTCTATAAAGTCGCCAGTGGCCGGATTCTGAGCGCACTTGCCTCTGGTCACACTGTCCCAGCCAAATTCCTTTATATTCTGGTTACACTATTCCACACTGTTTCTATTTCGCTCTTTGCTCGGACGTAGTATCGGCCAGCGACAAAATTCGTCTTCGAAGGCACCTCTTTAGTACAAAGCCAACGTGACAATACCAATAGATCAACTATGTGTCTTGAATAGTGCATTGCATTTACAATTTCATTCATCAAGTTCATCCGCGCTCCGCCGCCGTCTCGCACTCGTACTCCCTCGCGCTCCGACCAACGTGTGACCCCGAAAGCTGTCCTCCGCGCACACTTTCACTTTAGCCCAGCAGCAACAACAAACACAACGAAGCGCTACAACGAACAAATAAAATAACCTAGCATAAATAACTATTGTGCAATACTGATTAGCGAAAAATTAAGTCAGGAATAATGTCGGCGGCACAGGAAAAGGTTATACGCGTTGGCTCCCGAAAGAGCGAGGTAAGTGGGGAATAATCCAAATATATGTACATCCGCTTAGCAGTTGCATTTGAATTTCAATCACATTTTGTTGCTGGCCGCCCGCCCCTCTGCCCCAAATTTATGCAAGAGTTTTACTTGGCGAGAGAGTGGGACAGAGAGAGAGAGACTTGTTGCTCTGCAAGCGTGGTGTAGTTGTTATTGCAGCTAATGCTCTGATTTTTCCTTTACTTTTGGTTACTGTTACACAATTCGCCAATAGCAGCAACAACACACGCACTTTTGGGAGAGGGCACAAAAAAAAGAGAGAGGCCAAAACTTGTACTTGTTTGATGCTATTTTTTTTGTTTATTGAGGGCCCAAAACTTGATTTTTGGCCTGGCTTTTTCGTTATGTTATTTGTGTTAATTGCACTCTGTGCCACCTTTGATCGTGCTTGAAACGAAGGCCACACATGCCGCTGCCGCGCAGCTGGCATTTAAATTTGAAATTACTTGATTTATTTTCTTTCAAAGCTGCCGGACTCTCTCTTGCTCTCTGTCTCTGTCACCGCACTCGATCGGTTATTTACATTTAGCATTTAAAAAGAGCAATTTATCACTTAACAAATTAACTATCTCTGGTTTAATTTGCAGTTGGCGCTGATCCAGACCAAACATGTCATCGGCCGACTGCAGAAGCTGTATCCCAAGCAGAAATTCGAGATACGTAAGTGAAAGCATCTTGGGCAAATATTGGAATATTGGGTTGGGTTCCAGTACCACTTCCACACTGGAAACCGCAACTCATGCTGCACAGGGTGATATTCGAAACTGGAAGCAAAGCATGACTCGTGAAAAGCCCAAGGCAGGGATCTTATCTCATGTTTTGATAATGGTCAAAACAAAAATACACATATTTCGATCGTTTACTTAGGATTGCATATGATCGCGGTTTCCCGGTTTCCGTTTTATTTTCGGCCCTCTTTCTTCTTATTTCATTATTATCCGACTTTCGTCATCTCTTTCGCTCTCACGTGCGTGTTTTGGCAAAGTTTCTCTCAATGTCAATGTCTGGTTTTGTCGTTGTTTTTGTTGTTGTCGCGATTAGGGAATGCCGAAAACTGTTATGTCACACACACTTGCAAACGTATCTACTGTTGAGGTCACGAGAATAGAAAATAATCTAAATAAAAATTATAATATATTTAAAGTTGAAATTTTTAATATTTTCTTTGATTTCATAAAAGATTATTTCGATTGTAATCCAAAACAAATTATCATTATATTTAATGATTCATTGAAAACATAAGCCCTATAAGCGTGACTTTATGTGTACATAGCAATATCTCTCCCATTACGTGATTATTTTATGTTTGGAAGATACAAGATCCAATCGGTTTATCTGATAGGTAGGTGCTGCCGTTCTGTCGATAGCGACACTTTTCCGATTAGATACTTTTCGTTCTGTTGGCATAACGAGGGAATCTGTTGAAATTGTATTTAATCGGGCATGCTTTTACCTTTTAAAAGCGATAAGATTCGCCAGTTTATGGAAATATGTATATATTTAGAAGCATTCACGATGAGTCAGTTTGATTTATGGTTGTGGCACACCAAACACGAACAAACGTAATCATCTACAGGTTCAACTGAACTCCACTACCTTATCGATATGCCATTTAATCCACTAACATGAATTTTGAGAAAATAAATTTATGCCAAAACCTTTACGCACGCCACATCCTCTTTAGATATTGCTTAGGTTCCCGTACTGTACCCCCTTGGTATCGCAAATATTCAAATTGTACTCCCGGTCCGATAAGTAAAGCATTTGAAAAAGACATTATCGTTGCGTGTCCATAATGGATGAGTGAGGGGAAGTCTCGGGTAGATATCTCGTTTGCATGTCTCGCCTGATTGCCGTCATAAAGTTAAGTTATTCGGGTAGCTACTACGTACCTTATCTGGTGAAAGATACATTAGAAGACAAACTGCAATTAATGGAACACCTTCTCAGCAAAATGATCAATAGAAGGTGTCCAATAGACTATAGAAACACTCTGGACTTGGTTTTGAGCAACATTTAAATCCACACTGATCAATTATCATAATAATTATAATGAATAAGTAAAAGCCAACATTTTCCCATTATTTTAAACCTATGCAAACAATTATTTGAAATATTTATTATGATAAAACAAAGATTAAATGTTTAAGCAAATAGTTCTCTGCAAACAAACTCTCTCTGTATGCAATTTATTTGAGGTAACTGTTCCCATGCATTACTTTTATCTTTCCCTTAAGTCACTTTAATCTTAAAGTTAAAAAGTTAAATAATATCAAAAGTTAACTAGGTTATCTAAACCTTTAATGTACATATTATCTAATCCATTTTGTATTTTACAGACACCATGTCGACCTTTGGCGATCGTGTGCTCAATGTTTCACTGCCCAAGATAGGCGAAAAGAGCTTATTCACCCGTGACCTGGAGGATGCACTGCGCAACGGTGGCGTAGATTTTGTGGTGCATTCGCTTAAGGATCTGCCCACGGCCCTGCCAACGGGAATGGCCATTGGTGCTGTCCTAGAGAGAGAAGATGCCCGAGATGCGTTGGTTCTACGAGAGCACCTAAAGGGACACACAATAGCATCACTGCCCGAGGGAAGTGTGATTGGTGAGTGCTTATACAGTTCTCAGAACTTCATAGTCAACTAACTCTAAATTTCTGCCATTAGGTACCTCCTCCCTGCGTCGCACGGCTCAAATTCGGAGGCAATATCCCCATTTGGTTGTATGCGACATTCGTGGCAATCTGAATACTCGATTGGCCAAGCTGGATGCCGCCGATTCAAAGTTTGCCGGCATTATTCTCGCCCAGGCTGGCCTGGTGCGAATGGGCTGGATGAGTCGCATTAGCCAGGTGCTAGAGCCCACGGATCTGCTCTATGCCGTCGGCCAAGGTGCTTTGGCCGTGGAGTGTCGTGCCAACGACGACCAGGTGCTGGCCATGCTGCAGAAACTGATGTGCCTGAACACTACCTGCCGCATTCTGGCCGAAAGAAGTTTCCTTAAGACCCTAGGAGGTGGCTGCTCTGCCCCCGTGGCTGTTTGGAGTATCCTAAAAGGTGAACCATTAAATGGAAACAGTCAGGAGGTGGGACTTTCACTCACCGGCGCTGTTTGGAGTCTGGATGGGGCCACAGAAATCCGAAATCACCTGGCATGTGCCTTGAATGAGAAGTCCTCTGTGGTGTTGGAACAGCGTGGAAAGCGAGCGGCCCAGGAGAGTAGCAATCAGCAGCAGGAGGAGGGCAGCAGCAGCTGCGATTCGCCGCCGGCTACGAAACGTGCCAGAAATGGCAACGCCAGCTCTGGCTCGGACTCCAACTCAAGCAGCCCTCGACAGCAGGGCAGTCCTCCGGTGATCTGCGAGGATGAGGCCGCATGCGAGGCTCTAGCCGGCTACAGTGTGGAGCAGCTCACGGATCTAGCCAGTCAGTGTCCAGTGCTGGGCCATGGCAGTGCTCAGGCCGCAGTTGGAAATGGAGGTGGCGATGCGGACACCAGCAACTCCAACCAGACAACACCCCGGCAGTGTCCGCTTCGTTTGGTTGCCGGTCAGGATGTAATGGGCCAGTGTCCAGTGGTGCATGGTCCGGCCAAGGCTGCCGGCAAATGTCCCGTGGCCCATGCAGCCTCCGGAGATTCCTCAGAAGCAAACAATGGCAATAATGTAGCTCCAGTTCCAGCCTCCGCTGCGCTATGTCCGCTGCAAATGCCGGTTGGGCAGGACTTTATGGGCGAGTGCCCGTATGTGAACAAGGAGACCAAGATATCCTTTGCCCAGGCGGGCAAGTGTCCAGTAACAGGTGGTGTTGCTGGCTCCATTCTACCCACGCCGCCACCTAGCAGCCGAGCCAGTGCCGGGAGCAGCATTGCTGGTGATGATGTGGACAATGTGGCCTCTTCTTCCAAATGTCCCTTTGCGGCAATGCATCAGGGCAGCGGTCTGGAGGCACCTCCAGTCAAGGACAACGGAAACGCAACAACACAACCCAAGTGCCCCTTCCTTCAGAAAACTGTCCAGATGTTTGACTACGCCGACGAGGAACAGCCGACGCCACAGGAATCGGTGCTCATTGAGGATGTGGAGAACCTATTTTGCGGCTTGTATCAGCATGCCTGCCACAGCCGGGGGATCTACGAGAAGGCGAACCAACTGGGCAAGACCCTGGCCGAGGATCTGATCAAGCGGGGAGCCTTGGAGGTGATGAAGGTGGCGCAGGCAGAGATTCACGGCAAGGTGGTGACAGCCTCTTGAGAATGTCCAGAGTTTAGTTTCCAACTTCTCCCACCTCCACCCATTAAATTCATCGTTTACATTAAGTAGAAAAGTGTAACTAGACAATACTGTTTCCCATATCCATCTCCCACATCATGGAGAATCCATAGAATTATCTATATTGTATGTAAAATCCTTGTGCTCTCTCGCATATTGTTGGTTTTTAGTTTGTTTTTGTTTTGGGGAATATTATTATGATAAATAAATGTATAGGAACAATCATAATCAAAGTGTTTTCTCAACGTTTAGTAATACAAAATATTATTCTGCTGACAATCTTTATTAACAAAAATTATAAAAATATTTGTACTCTTAGTGAGTATATTCTAAGTTTTTTCTCTCTAGGTTTTGCTCTAACCTAGACAATTGTCTTTAAAATCAAACAAAAAATTATTCAATAGTCAAAAATGTTATGTTAAAATGTAACTCAGTTATAAATTGCGTGTTTTTTAAGATTTTTGATGGACTGTCTGCAAAATGTAAACTTATATGAAAAAGAAATGTATTCCTTTGCTTGGAACATTAACTAATTACACATAAACTTAAATCTAATAGTCGATAAGTATGAAAAGATGGGATACGGAAGAACCTAGACCCACTGGTGTTTGACTCGAAGGTGCGTGCTCAGGTAATTGCCTTCATAGAAACTCTTCTTGCAATTGCTCACACCGCAGCGCAACAGTGGGCCACCGCTGCTGCAGACGGCAAAGTGATTTACATAGTCACGCTGGTTGCCGTAATTGGTCTTGCACTCGGGACACTCGAGCTTGGTGCCATGACGCTTTTGGATGTGCAGCATCAAACGCTGCTTAGACTTCACCTGTTTTCCACACTGACTGCAGCTGAGAAGGGACTCTTCAGTGGTGGAATAGTCGTCAATGGAACTGCAGAAGGAATCGCTGGCAGATTGTAGGCGGGCTCTTTTATGGGGCTTCACATTCGTATTGATTTCGTCCATAAAATCGACTTTTATGCTTGTATCGTTTAGAGAAGCTTCCTCTTTGTTCTTGCGCTTGCCCTTCTTGCTGGGCGAATCACTGATGTCTATAGCACCTAGAGTGTCCGAGTTGCTTGAATCCTTCGCTTTCTTTGGCTTCTTACCAACTGCTTTTGGTGGAGCCATTATGACGCTTTCATCTTCAGTAATTATGGCAATTTCTTCTTCAGTGTGAAGAATCTTTTTCTCTTGCGGTTCCTCGTCATCCTCCTGGGGTGGGCTTTTCGGTGCGATGCTATCCACAATGTCAATTTCCTTCTCCTCCTGCAGAATCTTACGCTTCGTGGATTTTGCGGCCCCGGCACTTTCGCTATGCAGATTCATGTGATGCTTCAACGTCTGTTTGGTGGTCAGACCCTTGTCGCAAACGGGACACTTGAATATCTTTGGCTTTTCGATCCCATGGGCAGTCTTCATGTGCTCCTGCATTTGCTTAGCCGTTGCCAGCTCCGAGTCACAAATGTCGCACCTAAATTCACTGCCTAGATCAATTGAGATGTCTGCCGCTTTGGGAGTGGATGCACTGGATCCGTTGACGTCGAATGTGTAGTCTGCGTTGCTGATCACGTTTTCCAGCCACTTCTTTTTGGCCGATACATCGCCGTTAAGAGCTTTGATGGTTGCCAATTTTGGCCCCTGGGAGATTTCCATAATTTCTTCATTGACCTCTTCTTTTATAATTGCGTTTTTGTGGGCTTTACGTGGACTTTTCTCAGTGGGCTTTACCTCATCTTCCTTAGAGTCTTTAGTCTTTGCTTTCGCCTCCTTTTGCGGGATTTTCTCAGTGGGCCTTACTTCATCTTCCTCAGAGTCTTTAGTCTGCTGCTCCTTGGCCTTGGCCACCTTAGCTTTGGCCTCCTTTTGCGGGCTTTTCTCAGTGGGCCTTACCTCATCTTCCTCAGAGTTTTTAGTATGCTGCTCCTTGGCATTGGTCACCTTTGCTTTGGACTGCTTTTGCGGGCTTTTCTGAGTGGTCTTTACCTCATCTTCCTCCGAGTCTTTATTTTGCTGGTCCTTGGCCTTGGTAACCTTTCCTTTTGCCTCCTTTTGCGGACTTCTCGCAGTAAGTTTTACCACATCTTGCTCTGAGTCTTTAGTCTGCTGGTCCTTGGCCTTGGTAACCTTTCCTTTGGCCTCCTTTTGAGGGCTTTTTTGAGTAGTCTTTACATCATCTTCCTCAGAGTCTTTAGTCTCCTGCTCATTGGCCTTGGCCACATTTGCTTTGGCCTCCTTTTGCGGGCTTTTGTCAATGGATTTTACTTCACCCTTCTTGGAGTCTTTTGTTTGCTGCTCTTTGGCCTTGACTACCTTTTTCGGCGCCTCTACGGTGACGCCATGCACTTTCTCAATATGTACTCTCCAGGACTTGAGAATACCGAACGATTTGGGGCACAGGTCACAGAAATAAATACGTGGACGTTGCTGGCCATGCTCTTTAAAGAGATGCTCCTTGAATTGCTTCGCCGCGCGCGACTGAAAATCGCATAATTTGCAATCAAAACCACTCTTTATGGCAATAACCTTTTCAGCGTTTTCATCTACAGCATTATCGTCCTCATCTTCGTCCTCGCTTTCTGGAGCATCAGCATCGACATTGCGTGAACCAAAGAGTTGCAAGAAGACCTTCTTGTTGGGTGACACCTCCTTGGCGGGCGTAAGCCTCACAGAGTCGTCGAGACTGTTTTCTAGATGTGATGTATTCTTTTTGGGCGTCATCTTTGACAGACTGGCATTGACTTCGTCCAACTTCTTGGCCGGACTTTTTGGAAAGATTAAGTCGCTCGGTCTGCTGGCCATCGACTTGCTGCGCTGGCGAAGTGTTGCGTTCTTGGTCACCGGTGTGGACTTCGGTTTGGCACTCTTCACTTCCGCCTCCGGTATTATATCGATCTGATCGACGATCGACTTGACGGGTTCGTCGGTTTTTGTGCCCGCCTTTTTGTTTTTGGTAGCAGCGGCGCTCTTGGCCAAAGTGGCATTTTCCACCAGCTTCTGTGTCTTTTCGATAACGCCCATGGTGGACATCAGGTTGGAGGCGCACAGGAAGCAAATTTTTAGGGCCAGGTTACCAGGCAACTGGAAAGGCACAGGCAAAAATAGGTCACGAGATAATATTAGAAATCAGAATTGCCGCCTTTTCGACTGGCGGCGTGCTGTACTTACGTCTTTGTGAGTGACAATTTCCAGAACATCGAGAATCTTGTGACCCACAAACGATTTCTGGGCCGAAAATATTGTCTTTGAGTCATTGCTGACGCCGCAATAGTCGCAGGGGACTTGTTTAGCCATGGTTTTAAGTTTTAAAACAAACTAACAAACATTCGGAGTGCAACACGTTTTTTTCGGCTTTAAAGTGTGACCAAAGTTCGTCTGTTTAATACTCCATAACGCCTCGATACGCATCTGGCAACACTTTATTGGCTGAATCTGGCGGGAAATGAAACCAAACAATTTATTGTTAATTATCTGTACAGTGTATATTATTTAGTAATTAATAAAAATGTTTATTTTTATTTCTTATGAAAATTTTTCCTTTAAAAGAAATTGTATTGTCAATGCATTACTGCTCATCGATAGACTATCGATGGCTGTCTTTAATCGATAGTAGCGGCCTAGCGGCCCAGCTGATTTTTCGCAAGTTTTTCTTCGTTCTGCATAAAATTCTTATTTTTCTAATTTGTGTGCTTTCCTGGTAAAATGAATATACAAAAACATATAAAAACAATTAAACGCTGGCGTAATGTGTGCTGACTAATCTAGTTTCTGTGAAATATCTAGCAGCGCGGCAGCGTTCAATTGTGGTTGCTACGTGATTTGCAAATAATGTACGAATGAGAGGAAAATAGTGCAAGCGAAAGCAGAAGCCGCCATGAAAAGTGCTCAAAATATATAAAACGGTGTCTTTCGTCTCCATTGGTATAAAAATCAACGGCATAAACGCAGTATGCCCCACTTTTCTGTTGTCATTCTCCGAAAACGAATGATAAGTGAACTATGACAGACGTCACAGTCCTATTTTAATTCGAACGCACAAAATTCGTACGTAAATAGTAATAGAAATGTCAGAGGCAAAATCGGAGACAACCTCAACAGAAGGAGCCATAGGTGGACTCTCCACCTCGGGCGCACAACAGCAGGAGCAACAAGTGGCTCTTCCTGCGGACACAGGCGCAACAAGTGACCCCACAACCACTGATGTTGGTAAGTAAATTCATAAAATATGCGGTTAATAATATAGAATTAAGCAAACTTTATGGTTAAATAAACCTAAAACCTTATTGATAAATGGCCTGCCTGTTGTTCAACCCATTTATTTACACGTTTCTCGTAATCTACACTATTTGCACAGTATATAAATATTTGTATGTATGTGTATGTACAGTACATGCGTTGGACATTTACCCGATAAATCATAAATAAAGACATTGCTAAGAATTATAAATGGAAATATTTAAACAATATGCAAATAGCACTTTTTTAACCTTGTCTTTAATATTTAATAAATATAATATTTTTCTTATATTTTATTAAATAAAAATTAGATAAAATAACCATAAACATTTACATTTTGCTTGCAAAATACAGAGCAAAATAAACATACCGCAGTTAACCTTTTGAAATTATGCTAAACAATATTAAAAGACCTGTTTTTATTGTTCATTCTCAGTGAAAATGATCTTTATACCTTTTTTTTTTAACAGATTGAAGGTACCTTATCAGAATTAAAGCAATATTAATAAAAACCAATTACTCTATGGCATTTAAAATTGATTTTGCATGATTCGAGATAATATTTAATAAAATCATTCATCAGAAAATATGAAATTAATTGTAGTCTCTTGTATTAAATAAAAAATAATACGCTTATAGTTAAAATGAACGAAGTGTCGATTTTAAGCCCATAAACATGCTTTAGTTAACAGATTAGGAGCTTGTTTTGACTTTTAGTATCCTAATACATAACAAAATAACCAATTTAGTTAAGAACTTATTTGCAGCACAAATGCCTAACACTTTCTTATTGTACCGAAGCAATAAGGTTACTAGAACATTCTATAGTAAACATTTAATTTTAGTATGTAATTAGCACGTAATTGTAATTAAGTTGGATTAATTTAATCCCCATCCTTTCCTCATTCCCCCTCTTATTTCAAGTTTTTTGTATTTGTAGCTGAAAGTGTTTATTTTCCCCCAACGTATAATATAATCGCGAGTTATAAGTTTTGATTTCTGTGTTATACTTTGTAGTGTAAAAAATGTATTATTGTATTTAACTACCAGTTTTGAGTTGTTGCATCCCAAAAAGCACACCAGCAGGTTAGTTGCTGACACTTTTACTCTTGAATTTTCACCTTTAACCAAAGCACACAAATCACTAATCATTTCTTTTGTAATTTTTTCCAAAAACCAAAACAAAACAAAAAAGTTTTTTAAATCAACAAAAACCTCATTGCAGCGGACACACGGCAGCAGAATTGCCTGGAGTATCCTTTGCTCCTGGAGCATGCCAGCCTGGAATCGGTGCCGCAACAATTGAAAAATCTCACGGATCAGTCCAAGGATCGAAAGCTATCATCAGCCGAATGGCTCACTCTCCTGATTTACATGCTGGCCCTGGAGTGTGGATTCGTGGAGGAGGATGTGTTTGCCCAGAAGAGACATCTGCTGCAGCCGGTGCCCGTCTTCAGTAGCTTTCATGCCCCGAATGTCCGTCTTCTCAGCGAGCAGATCGTCAATTATGCCTGCCTGTTCAACGACACGGCCTTTGCGATTCGTTTGCGAACACTTTTGGATAAATATGCACGGGAGGATATCACCGTAGTGGCTGCTCTCCAGACCCGCCTGATGGCCATCATACTCGGCGATCAGCTAATGATCACCCTGTCCCCGACGCCGCCATCGAAGCAGCCGGGCTATAGCATCAGCCTCTCCATTGGCCGCTATGTGCTCAACATCCAGGCCAAGAACAAGCCCATATACCAACGCTTTCGTAAGCTGGACGAACTCTCCTACCAGGTCAAACAGAATCTCTTCCAACCCATGAGATCGCAGCAATTGATGGAACTAAATCGAACGCTACAGCCATCGCTCCAGGGATTGCCCGATGAGCTTTACGGAAATATTTTCAAATATCTTGACCGGAATCAATTGAATGTGGTGGGAAAGGTCAGCAAACGTTTACATTTCCACACCAGGGAGGCGAAACGAAAGAGGCTGCAGGGTGGCAGACGTTAGCAAACATAAAAAATATAGTTGATTTCCGATAAATTCGGCCAACAAAATGTCCAGGTGTGGCTCTGATAAATGGGTTCTCAAGGATTCAAATGAAACTGATTTAACTCTCTAACATTTGGTAGAAATATTTACGCTAAAGAAATACCATGTAACTCGTTAATATTTTATTAAATGACTGAGTTGGTGTCATTAATTTGCATTCATTATTTCAACTTCCACGTAATAATTGTAAATATTACATAAATTTTTACATATTCTCTCTGTTATATATTAATAAATGACAAATCCGTTGTCTTTATTATTCCGGGTATAATATTTATACGAACTTATATTATTTTTAAGAAGGTTATTGAGGAATTTATAAACAGTATGTTGTGGAAGAAGTTAAAGTTATTTCTGTAATTGAAATTAAACAAATGTTATGAGATAGTAGTAATAAATATTCTTATACTGACTTGGAAAGTATAAAAGTGTTTTATTTTTGGACCAAGAGTCTATTTTATTAACTTTTTATCTATACATATATTATTTAAATCATAGTTTCATCCTCAAAACCTTTTAGAATTGTGTTAGAATTTTAATTCTAATTTAATTCCTTAAAACCCATATACCTTTGTACATTTTTCCTCATTACATGAATTTTCGGTTTTCTTTTTTGCATTTTGCATTGGGTGAAGCAGCAGCAGCATCAGCTAGGATTATTGTGGCTCCACCGACGCCTTCAGCGGAATCCTGCGACTCCTACAACATCTTTGAGCCGGCGTCCACGCCCCTGGATAGCATCAGCATCAAGAGCAGTGCCAGCAGTTACTTCTACGATCGTGATACTATAGGTGAGTGTTACCTGCCTTTTTGCATTGTCCTTCTTGTTTTTTGTGTGTGTTGTTTCGTGCACCCTCTCCTCCTTTTTTTCGGCCAAAAGAGGGGTACACGCCCCTAAACGAGTCGGCCCTCAACCACAGAAGTGCAGAATGCGAAACAAGCGGCTCCAGCAGCCGAAAACACGCGCCGAGATTGTCGCATCCAACACACACACAATCCGCATCCACTCCCACCATCTCCCCCCCTCAGCCTCCCAGTCTGGAATCCCTGAATCCTGCTGGAGCTGAGTCCACCCAGTGCCATGCCCACTTCGATTTTTTATGCGCACGCAAAATCAACAAAACCCACGCGAGCCGAAATGGCACCCCCTATAACCCCTATATATGCCACATCTTTCTACACTGAAAATAGTTTTGAATAAGTTAAGAAATTGGGGTTTAAATTATTATAAGAATATGAATATTTTCCCTGAAGAACTTAATGGTCTTAGTGAGTAAAGTCACTGCATTGTTGGTTTTATTTTCAATAATTGAAGTAATTTTTCCTAGATTATTGGGTTGTAGCTGAGAGCAAGATCAACAACTTAGGTAGTATCATAATGCTCTGATTAGTGCGATCTAGAAAACATATGTCGATTTTAATGGTTAGTATTATATTCCCATAAAAAAAGCTTGACAAGCATATGATACTTATAATAAGCAGTGTCATAAGAACCAGTTTCCCATTGTTTTAATGGGTTGTGTCATAATTTTTAGTGTGATCTAAACTTTCAATAGGCTTTGTCATAGTATCATAAGAATCACTTTCCTAGTGTAAAGTTAATATTTTTAAATTTGAGTTTCAGAAAGCCTTAACCATATATTGAGCAGGGGATCTCAAAACACCATTCAAATTTGATTGATTTATAATTTTTAAATGTATACGTTTTCTATTCCAAAAATTTCAATTATATTTTATAGTCACATTTTACATTCCCCCATATTTATGCTCAGTGCATGCCCCTTAACCTCTTCGCCTTTTCGGGCTTCCCTTACCGGGGATGGCATCCACAATTTGGTTTTTCCCTCTCAACAGCGAGACACTTGCTGCTCCATGCTGGGCTCCTATTTCGTGTTTATATTACGATATCGACTTTCTCGAGCCGAGCCTTATCACTGGAATAATAAAAACAACTAAAGAGTGAACGAAGAGGTGGAAAACAGCATCCAGTATCCATGCATTGAGCATCCCAGCATCAGTGTCTGGTACTGCGACCACCTTATGTTCCTTGGAGCTCCCGTGGGT